ATCAGCCCATGAAAAAAAATCAATACATTCCTATGTGACTTTCGGCAAATCCAAGCTAATTTTCCAAAGATCCTCTGAAAAACCCGCTTCATAAGTTTTTCTGACATTTGCATTTGCTTACAGAAATATGTGGTCAGATGTCTCGATTTCAAAACTGAAAATCGCAAGTCTCTATCTTGTTCCAATCAAAAGTTATTCAAAAAACATCCACCTGCCTTGACTTCTGGCGTCGATAGTAGTGCTAGAACGGGTCAGACTGAGCAAAACGCTATTAACCTTGGTAAAGAGAAAAATACAAAAGTTAGAAGTTTCTTACTTCAAAAAGATCCTTGAGGCCTTTTTTTTGTCTGGAATCTCGAATTTCATGCAAAACACCGAAATCGTTTTCCAGATCACATCCTGATCTCCTCTTAAGAAAATTAAACCTGATTCCTCAGATTCAACATCAGAGATACTCAATCCATGGTTCTAGATTTTTTAGATTCCAACGCCTATCTAAAAGAAAAATTCATATGGGATTTCTAGAAGACGAACCCGCGAACTTGGTTAGCCGAACTTCAAACACGGAGCTCTATATCGAATTTTTGACAAAACGAAAAACCATCAATTCAACATTTTGCCGCTAATGTTAAAATTTATGTTAGGTGCAAACGCCATAGTGTGCTTAGTGGGAAAGAGATTGAAGATGTGTATTTCTGATAAATTATTAGTTCTTTAGCGTTGAACTGCTGTGAAATCTTCGTTTACAATATCTGTATGGAAAAGTTAGAAAGTAGACGGCACTAGGTTTCAAACAGATTTCATTACTCATAATCATGAAGTTCTTTTACTACAGTAGTGGTTATTGTAGTCTGTTTCTTCAGCTAGTTTTTCTCTGCATTTTTCTTCAAACGGAAAATGTATATAGAGTTTTTTCTAGAATATGAGGTACTGTTGACCCCATCTACTTTCAAGTAGTTTTCTATTACTAAAACTTTTCGCTGCTACTCATTATTCGCTAGTTTAATATTTGACATATTTACCAATTATTTATCCTATATTTTATTTACACTTAAGAATAGAAACAATAGTTTATAAAATTACAGACCTCGACTGTGTCTAGATCAGGTCAAAACTATATATTTTTAATACTGTTTTTCATATTAAAAATAATAAAAAGAAAATAGATACGAAATTTTAGAAAAACAACTAAAATCTTGTATAAATGTGGACCTTTGGAGTAATGTAAATCATCAGTTAACAAAATAAGAGTATTTGTTAATTGAATTTTCTTCGTTTGATCGTCGAAATGGATGATGCTGTATTCCATGCTGATTCCATTTTTTTAATCAATTTGTTTATATCTTCATCATCCTTGTCTATATTGGCACCGGTAGCAGTATTATTAATATTCTTTTTGCGTATAAAACACCATTCACCACTTGTGCTATTTGCTGTTTTGCCATCATGGCCAACAATTTTGACATTAGTTGCTGTTTCATTATCTTCAATAGCTTTTTTCGCTGCTTCCAATTCATCTTGCAATTGTTTCGTGGTCGTATTTGTTATAAAATTAATACGGACAAGATAATCGGATTCCAATACCTTTGTTTGACTACCCTTTTTACCAATAAAACGTCCTCGCTTAAGTTGTTTTTCACGTTCGGACAGTGAACTTTCACCTACAGTAGTAGTGTACGGTAAATAAAGAAAGATCCCGTTTAATGGAGATTTTTTTACTGTTTTTTTGCGTCGTGGCTTTGCTGCTGCTGTATTTTGATGTTGAAAATTACCACGTCTAGCCACATAGCGTCCGCGTCCGCGTCCTCTACCACGTGATATATGTCGAGCAGCTGTGATTATTTGTCTATCCTGATGACTACTATCTGATGCTGAAGACGACGATGATGCTGAAGACGATGATGATGAACGTGACATGTGTTTATCAGTTGAAGACGATGATGGTGAACGTGGCTGTGACTCTAATGTACGAGAAGGAACTTCTTCACGTGTTTCATTGGTTGCTGTTATATCTGACGTTGTCGTCTGACCTTGTTTCGCAATATCATTCAACAATTTTAAAGAGTTTAACAAATGACCATCAGGTGGAGCTTGAGCGAGTATCTTGTCATATAATAGTTTTATTTTTGTATGGTTTGGATCAATGTCGACGTTTACATTTTCTACGGATTGTTCTAGAAAAAAATAAAAATATTCAAATTAATTGATTATCAGATAAGACCTGTTTGTTCTTCTATTACCTTTTTTACATGTACAACATGTTTTTGGTAAAGTTCGTATAACGGCAATCGGTTTTCCCTGCTTTCGTAACTCATTCACGATACTATGGAACTGTGCAAGAAATTTTTTGTCATGGACTAAGCAAGACATCTAGAATAGAGAAAGTTCATTAGTAACAGATTGTTTCAATGAAAAACAATATCGAAAAATTATCAGCGTTTATATGAACGAAGAGTAACTGTATCTCAACATTCATTTCTTCCACAATCACTAACAAATACTTTCGCTCATCAGTCTAATCAACATATCTTTTCAGCAGATCTCAAGATTTGCTAATATCGGTTCGTTGTAATAAAACAGACATACAACATACATAGATTATTTACAGCTAGATTTATCAGTGCAGAATCTAGCTACACATAATGTGACTACATTTATTACAACAATTTTGTCGTTATCCTTTCAAAGATAAGATGAAACACGAATTACTTCAAACTTTGCGGTTCTCTGTCATTCTCATTCAAGGTAGTCTTGTCTCGCCCTATTAGTTTTCTCTTTTCTTTTCATTACATAACTTCACATGTTTTGGCTGCAATTGTTTGCAATACTCTGTCATTCACTAGCCGATGAATCATTTAAAATATTTCATCGTTTGTTGAAACTGTTGAATCATGAGAATAAAATAGTAAATTTTAAGTAATCTATATTTCTTACGAATAAAGATTATTCGTTACTGCTCTACCCTCTGACCTCACGTATATATCGTGTTGCAAAAAACAGATAAACAGTGCGTTATGATCGTTACAAGTGTAATTTTGCTTTCCATCAAAAGCTCACTGACTTATATAATTAGTTGATACTTTCCGCCTTGAACGCACCAGTACTGATGATTCTTATCCTATCGGTTATTGAATCCACCAATGTCTATAGATTTACTTTGCGGCTTGGCCACGTAATGCTACTTTTTTAGATAAGTTTTGAAAAACAGCAGTTTGTTTGCATTTTTGTATACAGTTCCTGAACAAAAGACTGTCTAGAGTGTGTGAAAGTCTCAGAATATTCAGCACACTTTTCTCTTTGATATGAGACGTTGCAGGGCTCTGGGCGTGTCTTCATTCGAAAATTCTAGAAGAAACAAAAGGCAAACAAAACGTGACGAAATTACACTGCGGTAGCAGCAGGGACGCCCTGATACCTCAGAGACGAGGGGACGCGGGGTGAGGGAGTCAATTTCGAAGCAAACTTTTATGTTAACTGGAGTAAAACTGAAAATAACTAGTATGAAATTGCGCTGCGCACAAGTTGCGATAGATTGAGTAAATCAAATCAATACAGATATATTTATTTGACATTTTGTCTCAAGAACAAATGACGCCGGACAATCAACTCTTATAAAGGAATAAATGTGTTTTGATCACCAAAAAAGTGGCTTTTGATCACCAAATTTATTAGCAGTGAAATGATCACCAAAAAATAAGACTTTTGATCACCAAATCAATTAAAGAAGTTTTAATTAAAGAAA